TCCGCCGCCGCCTCCGCTCCTCGCCGAAGCCCCGGCCCGCACAGCCCCAAGGTAGGAGGCAGGCGGCGCCCCAGGCGGGAATTCGCAGCGCAGCCCTGGGACCCCGCGCCCGGCCTGGCCGCGGGAAGCGGAACCCGCTGGCTCGGATGCCCTTCCCTGTTCCTTCTCTCCTCCCCTTCACGTGGAGATGGTACAGGCTCCCGGAGCTCCGGCCCCCCGGGAACCACGGCCAGGCCGCCGACCAGCAGGTCTTCCGAGTGGTCCTAACACCAAGTGGCCGAGCCCAGCCTCGCGACCCTCGAGCGGCGGGGGCTGCAGACGCCGCTCATGCAGCTGTCCTCAATATGTAATTAATTCACACTCGTGCATGTGCCCACGCTGCCGCCAGGAAAAGTGCATTCAGGTAAACAGGCACACAGACAGGCACAAACACGACACTGAAATCAATAGGCAGGCGTACCCTAACTACTCAGGGGCTCTGAGGCATTACAAGTACCGAGGACTGCGAATATCTAGAGAGAGACCCTTGCCGTTCTATTCACATTTGGATAATCTCAGGAATAAATCTCAAGCTCTCCTTCCCAGCTCCCACCTCTCGACGCTCCATCCTCCATGCAGTTTCATTCTATTCAGACTACACGAAGTACTTGGATTCTCATCTCTGCAGAAGCAACCCTTTTCCCCGACTTTACTGACACGGTTAAGAATAATTGGCCATCTAAATAACGAGGTTTAGGGAGGCCGAAGTTAGGAGTAACCTTGTCTTTCAATATTATGCAATGAGCAAGCATCTGCCTTTCAAGATAAATAAAAATATTAGGGAGACTTGCCTACTCCTGAAATATGAGTTTAATGTTATGTTTAGGTCTGAGAAAGGCCCACTGTAAACAGTACTGTGCGTTCACAGCATTATTAGTGTGGCGGCGATGGGCCTGATTCAGCATCCCTTATTAGACCTTTGTTTCTTGTTGATTTAAAGGGATATCTTGTCCTAGAAAGAACTGCAGATTGGGTACAATCTGGAACATGAAGAAACACACAGATGGAACAGGAAACACTGCATCCTTAGGCTATAAAACTTGCCTCTTATAAAATAATACAGAACGCGTTCTTGTGGATTATCGAATCCCCCTCTTTTATTCGAATTCCTACAGATTGTAAAAAGTCAGTGAACACTTTCAGAAACATTCTGGTAGAGAACTGCCATCAGCCATTTGTAAGACCTCAGAGAAACCAGTCATAGGGAAAAAAATATTGTGAGATAGCATAACTTTTCAGAAGCCAATTGTTATGTCTCTTTTTAAGCGTTGCACTAAACTCCGCAGAGTGGCACTAAATTTTTTTAAAGAAGAATAGAAGAAACATTTGAAAGTATTACCATTTCAGTATCTCCATGCATGCCATTCAACTGGTATCAGATTTGAATGATTCAATTTCTTAGGGTACTGAGCAAAAGGAGCTGGCAGTTGTTACCTAATTGTTTTGAAACAGGAAATGACATACCTGAGGGTTTGTTTGTTTGTTTGTTTTTCCCTTCTCCAGAAAGCATTCTGACTAGTTTGTAATCATTTCTCTTAATGAGTAAACACAAAGAAAACCAAACTTAGTTTTAATGACACATATGTAACCACCCTGTATCAATACTATGCTACATAGTCTGGTCTTACTTCAAGCCAGGCTAGGCTAAGAACCTGCCTTCATCTATTTTTCAGTGCACTTTGCCAGGTTTGAAAGTTAACAATGTCACATTCTTTGTACCATTACTACCTTTGCTTCAGATTTTTGTTCATTGGATAAAGACATTGGAATTCACAGTATACTTAAAGAACTAGGACTTTATGAGTTGCAGGATCCAGTATCTCTTAGATACTAATGCTACATTCTCTCCATCCAACTCACCATTAGATACTAAAGTTAAGAACCTTTTTTTTTTTTTTACTTCAATTATGACTATTAATGAGAAGAGAGGTACTGCTAAGCCTGTTTGACCTGGTCAACCTTCAACATCCTGTAAAACTGATAAGACAATCACTGGACTGGCAGTGTTTCTACCAGATGACTATTACATCTGGTAAACATGGACTGTTTCTTCTTCCAGAGAGTAAATTCATTATATGTGCATTACATTGTATTTTTAACTTCAATTATGACTAGTAATGAGAAGATAGGTACTACTAAGCCTGTTTGACCTGGTCAACCTTCAACATCCTGTAAAACTGATAAGACAATCACTGGACTGGCAGTGTTTCTACCAGATGACTATTACATCTGGTAAACATGGACTGTTTCTTCTTCCAGAGAGTAAATTCATTATATGTGCATTACATTGTATTTGCAAATAATTGAAGACAGTGTATGATGGTCTGAAATATGTTTCTTTAGTTGGATATAAGGTGGATCAAAGCTTGAGAACAGTAAAACTAAGTGAACCAACAGTACACAAAGAGAAAACAAAAGTATGATGGGGAAGGAGGATGGGCAAGTTGCATTATTTTGGGAGCAGAGTCATATAAAATAAGAAAATAGACATTTCCTGTTTCCCACAGCTCACATCCTCTTTTCTTCTTCAATAGAAATTATTGGACTCATTTTTTTATGTTAACATGACCCCGTAATTGGGAATGAGTTACTGCTTCACTATCAATATATTCATCATTCGTTTACATATTCAATATTTGTTGAGTGTGATTATTGAGCTGGACATTGTGCTAAATACTGGGATTATATCTCTAAGTGAGGCAGACAGCACTGGGGATTGATGGTTGAATAAAGAGATAGAAATAATTCTGCATCTCTTTTATACTAACATCTATCCAAGTTAATCTTGACTGGGTAATTATTTCAGTATCTTCATATATTCTTTAAAAATGAATATCATCAAAATAGAAAAATATTGTCATAAGCATCATCATTATCATTCTAGAGATCTGTAAACGATCTACCATGTGGCAAATTATCTCAAAAGTCCTCCCCAGATTTTAGAAATTAAATGACAAAATGAGTAAAAATATTTTGGTTTTAATAACACTTTGAAGTAACTGTTGAAGGAACCATTGAATAGGTTCAATAAGTAGAGACACCTTGGTATATCTCTAGGTGAGACCCTTGAAGTGCAATTTCCTCCAGGAAAGCAGGCTGTTCACCTGCGCCAAGAATCAGTACATTTGCTCAGAAAAATGTGTCTAACTAGAGTAGAAATACCTGCCAGTCTGATCGTGCACTCCAAGAATTTAGCACCTGTTTCTCTGAATGTATAGGATGTGTCTGGGATGTCTTTGCTCTAGTAGGAAAGAACAGGATGAGGTCAAGTTTTGAAGTCTCTAATGTACAAAAAATCCACCTGGCATCCTGGCCTGTGGCAGTGCTAACCAGCCCTGGGCACAATGAGGCACATCATAATCAAATATTGATTGTGAGAGAGCCTGATCGAGGAAGATAGTATCAACTATAAGTAAC